TTAATGCCTGCTAAATGAAAGAAGAGAGAAATGTAAAACTTGATGTTAAGGAGCTTCATATATATCTACTGTTATTTCTTATCATGTGTTTGATTTATAGAGAGTACTCAATCTTTAGTTGGAACATGTAATGTACATTTTCAGTTGCATATGCAATTTGTGATTGAATGTTGTGGAATTCTTTTGTTAAAGCCCACTAAAGGAAAGAACAAATAATGTAAAAAGCTTGATCTCTAGTAATTTTTTTGTGCTTGTTGTGTTCAACTTATGAGGAGTCAATCTTTAGATTTGATGAGATGACTTCATGTCTCAGTCCTCATGATTGATCAAAGTAGAGAAATTAGTTGGAATCATGCAATAAACATTTTCAGTTGTTATGCATTTGGAGAAGGATTTGTGATTGAATGTATGTTTCATTAGGGAATCATAGTGAGATCAATAAAATTTTCACTATGTTGTACTCGAGCTGAGGGTCCTCCAAAAACAGCTTTTTTACCTCTACGAAGTAGGGGTAAGGTCGGCGTACACTCTACCCTTATTCCCACTTGTGGGAATTCATTGGATATGTTATTGTTGTTGTCTGTTACCAACCCTTCTTTCTCTGTTGTAACCCATTGCATCATTATCCGACCTTAAAAAGATGAATGAACAATAGATTAGAGATATAGTAAGCATAATCAGTCCTTCTACATCAGGCATCATCAAACGTCCTTTGCAAAAATCAAAATTCATAAAATGTTTGGCAATTGATTTTTGAAAACCTAGTTACTATGTATTCGCAATGCAGTTTCAAAGTAACACTGGCGCATACCACAACTGTGGCGACACTGGTTTGATTAGTTTCCGGTCAATCTTTGTAGAACCAGAATGAACATATCATTTGTTAGAATGTATGCGTCCACCAGTGATCACAGGACCAGGTTCCCAGACAGAATAATAGTGCGGAAAATAAATAGCTCAAAGTAGATCAGGCACAAGGAATTTACGTGGAAACCCCATTGTTCAAGGGAGGTGAAAACCACGACATGTACTCACAGGATTTCAACCCAAACTCCATCTCACTCAAACAAAGCAAAGTTTCAGATTACAAACTCTTGCAACCTAGGAATTAAAACTCTTTAATCCCTTCCCCTTTATTGTAGCAACTCTACTACAAAGGAAATTAAGCAATAACTCTATTGCCCACTAAACCAACTAACTCTAGTGGATCTAGACTTTAAGAACCCAACAAGGCTACCTCTAGCCACCAACTTAGATATTGAAGATAAGAGCTAAACAAGCAGCAGCTCTGCTGCACCCAAACATCAACTAACTCTAGTTGACACTCCTAGGCAACTCTACCCAAGAGAACATCAAAACAATGATGTAAAAAGGCTTGACGAAAACATAGATGGTTCGACTAACTAACTCTAGTTAATACGACTCAAACTAAAGACTTAGACAAGCAACCGATCTACTATCCTTTATAACTTAGGAGTAGATTTACAATATAAGAACATAAGACACAAAACTCAAAATACAACAAAAATGCTTCAACACTCTATCAGGTCCTTTGTTGAGTATGACCAGTGTTCTTGAAGATGACCTTTTCTTTGCGAGCTTATGAATTTTTAGAAATTCAAAACTTTGTTTGTCAAATCTTGAGTTTGTGTCTTGTGAGAAGAGACTATGTCAAATGGACACAAACCCCTTGGGATGACACCATTGGCTAAGATCCTGCTTCTCTAAAAAGACGTGCACCAAGCACATCAGAGTTGGCAGCTTTTTGACAGCTGTCTTTTAATCTTTTCACTTACGCAGTCATTCCGAGACCAGGTCCCTTGCTGTCACGCCCCAAGCTACCCCCGAGACGCGGACACGGGACCTAGGATCACAAGTGATCCCAAGCTAACCCTGCTGGCATGATCATGAGCATACTAAAGATAATAAACTGATGCGGAAGCTAAATCATAAATAACATAAAAGGATGGGGAATACCCATATACTATAACTGAGATATATGAAAACTGATGAGTTTAATACAAAGAAGATATTAACTCAATACTAAGCTGAATCTAACTATGTCTGAAATAAGCCTCTAAACTGACTAGAAATGTTGGGACATGCCCCAACTAGATCTAGCAAAACTGAAACTGAAGACTAAAAGCGATAAAGATAAACATGTCACTAGTCCTCGAAGAATGAGGACTAACAACAAGTAATGGGTCTGAGGGTAGAAACTAAACAAAAGTAGGCAACTAACAATATAAACAGGCGGAAGCAAACCAAAAACATATATACAAATAAAGATCCCTCCCAGAATCTGGAAGTCACTAGTACAGAGCTACTAACAAAATGAGTACAAGTCCCAAAAGTGGACAACAGAGACTGGACTGTCTCGGAAGGTAAAAGACAAGTCTATATATACAGATGGAGACTGAAATAGTACAAAACGTCGTGTGCTCACTCCCGTCTCCGGATCAGTCTGCTCCAAGCTCGATCAACGCTGTCTACTAGTGCCCGGACCTGCATCACGAAATAGATGCAGAGCGTAGCATGAGTACCAAAACAACCGGTACCCAGTAGGCATCGTAGGCCGACTGAACTTGAAAAGTAAAGGCAATATGAAAAGAAGGAATAACACAAACCGAAGTCAAGAACTAAAATCTAACTAACAATGGAATGCACACGAGTGTAGAAAGAACTAACTAAAGTAATCTATAAGCTAACTACACCTAACTGGGCCCCCATAAGCCCAGAAGGTACACTCGTGCGCAAGTTAAATAAAAACCCGAACGGACCCCCATAAGCCCGACGAGTACATAGAATAACTATAACTAAAGATAATTGCATATAAGAACCCAAGAACGGAAAACATCAAATCAGAACCTCAATCCCAATTAGTAAAATCTGACAGTACAGAGGCCGGACCTCGAACCGGATGCTCACCAGAAGTACCTAAGTAACCAATCACAAGTATCAAGTATATGAGGCCGAAACTCTAACCGGATGCTCTTTATAGGTATCTGGGAAATAGAGGCCGGAACCCTAACCGGATGCTCTATATAAGTATCTGGGCAATAGAGGCCGGAACTTAAACCGGATGCTCTATAAAGGTGCCAATGTAGCTGCTGAAAGAGTCCTAATCGATCCACACTCATAAATGTCCGTGGAACGCCGTTCATACTTATCCAATCAATGTAAGTCCTTAGAACCAAATCGAAAATCAAATTCAAATCACGAAGTAGAATTAGTGTCGCCGACGTAACTCGTGAAGCCGTAACATCGGGAAAAATAAGGATAACTAAAGTCGGAGCAAGCGTATCGCCTAGCTAAGGCCCAAACTATCAGACTCAAGTCGGGGTAAAACTAAGGCCTATCGGATCCGAATCATTTATTTCTAAGACAAGCCCTAGTCAAACCTAAACTAAGGCCCAACATGCTTCAAATAAACAATAATTAAGCATGCAAGCACTCCACATAGCGAGGAGGGTCCATTAATAACACAAAGCATGCTCATAGTTACCCGATAATTCCCGAAATAGGCCGAAAACATGATTTCTAATCACCTATGCATGATTCAATAACTACCCAACCCAAATCCCAACTAATCAACATGCATTCACATTCTCGAGCTCAATCTAAGAAAGGGAAAACCGTAGCCTACCTGTAGGCCAATCACACGCGCTCCAAAATCACTTCTTCGGAGCTTTCCCTTTCCGAACAGTCTCGAAACGCTGCCCCGCTATCAAAAATAGGATCACAACGTTATTACAGTCGTTTAGACACCAAAATCACAACAAACGGAGACAAATCAATTTTGGAGTCAAAACGGGAATCGTGGGACCCGCGCAGACGTGCAGAAAATTTCGAAATTAACCTCAAAAGTGGGTCCTAACCAGTTTTCCCAGCTCATGTCCCAAAATGGGACACAATTCGGGGCTCGGGAACAACACACTATCAACATGCAACCAAAACCCAAATTACAGTAAAACGGAACAACAATAGCAGCAGCTATTTACAAGAATATATCAGAAACGAGGGTCCAGATGCTGAAACCAATCACACCATGATGATCCTCACAAAAAACCCCACAATCTAGGCTTTTGAATCATCAGATTCGCACCTAAAATGACCACGACATCACCTTCTAAATTTTCTCAAAAATTGAGCTCGAAATGAGCTAAGACAGCAACTAAAACACAACTTTTTACCTCCAATAAAAAGTTAAATACGAAATCTAACCATGCCAACGCGTTCTCCTTGAAAAAAAACTCAAGATAGCTCCAAGAATCACCGAAATCGGATATTTAATGACTGAAATATCAAGTCTCAAAAATTTCCAAAATCAAGCTCACAAAAAGGGTGTGGCAGCAGGTATTTTACGAAAATTACCTCAAACAGGGACTCCAAATCACTATTCAAGATCACAAACGCGTTGTCCTCGAAAAATCTCACAACTTTGCCTTTTGAATCGCCCAAATTGGTTGAGAGATGAGAGAGTTTTGAAGGTTTGAAGTTTGGAAATATGTTGCTGTTTTTCTGCATTTATTGCAGAAAATCTGCAATAATTTCCAAAACTTAAAACCCCGACGGGGTGCTCTGATCTCGTTCGGAACCCCGTGTACGCAAACAAGATATGCAACCATACCAAATTCGATATTCCAGACTCAACGGCGCAGTCAAAATTTCCATGAGAGGTCATTTCTGTTTACATCCCTACTCTATTCAAATAGGGCGAAACATCGTGGTGACTCAAAAAATAATCAATTGATTCAATTTTAAGAGAATTTTAAGAATAAACAAATTTTGAAGGAGTCGCCACCTAATTTTAGGAAAAAACTAGGAAACCATTAAGTTATCTATGAAACCATTAGATTCTAAGTAAGGGGTTCAAGTTATTCCGAAGGGAAGGGGTTACGCATTCTTCGAAATCCGCAAATGTGGTCCCGATTGAATTCATTTTTTTTCAAATTGAGGAGGAGGATAAAATATTGTACAAGTATAATAAACATGCAATATACACAAGTAATATGATAAAACAATAATATATGAATTGGCCTAAATTTGCCTATCGTCAATAATATACAATAATGAATAAGGGTATAATTCGAACCTTATTTGAATAGCTTCAATGGGAAGCACATCCGAGTACCTGTACAGACACTTAGTAAATGTGTTTGTAAAAAATTAACATGAATAAAAATAAATGAATCAAAGAATAACTTAAAAATAAAAACCCGTCTTATTAACATGGAAGGCCTTGGAAATCGACGGTAATTTCTTCATCGGCCAATTTTAACATAAAACTTTTATAGACTTAAACTAAATTTCCGTCTTCTAAAATGTGGAGGTCTCCAAAACCGACGGAGAAATTTTTTCATTGGCCATTTTGAACAAACAAAATATATGAAATTAACTAAATTTCCGTCTTTTACAATGTAAAGGCCCCCAAAATCGACGGACAGATTTTCTCATTGGCCATTTTGAACAAACAAATATATGAAATTAAACTAAATTTCCGTCTTTTTACAATGTAAAGGCCTCCAAAATCGACGGAGAGATTTTCTCATTGGCCACAACACTTTCTCAAATTAATTGTAAGAAGAAAATAAAATAATGCGAAATCGATCAACCGAAATCAACACCATACTCATAATAACAACAATAACATCATCATCATCGTCTCAAGATAACACGTAACATCCACTTAACAAAAATGAATTAAAATAAATAAATAAATCAAAGTAGCATCTATGAGAATATAGCATTGAAAGAAAATACATAAATAAAATCTAATAGCAACAACAATTATGATAAGCTAGTAATAGCTAATGTAGTGGAGATTAAATATTTGGGCAACTCGACAACCAAAACATCAAATATAAGAAAAATAATAAAGAAAAATATAAAATCTAAATACTGCCTAACTTATTTGATAATATAATAAAGAAATAAAAATCAACATTCAAAGATAATGACAAAGTGGTAACAAATCACGGTGAAAGATAGTGTTAAAACAACCAACTAAATACATAATTAGCAATTAACCACAACATGAAGGATTTTAAAGAAATCAGACACTAACAACTAATTAAGATACCAAAGATCATATCATTATTGAAAAGAAACAGAACAATAAAAAGGAAGAATATTAATGGAAAAAGAAAATGAACAGACCTTCATTTGAGCTTTATTTCTTCAATGGTAAGACAGAATAGGTCACAATTCAAGCCAGATCTGATTGTCGCTCACCGGTGTTGGAGTCACGTCGGAGATGGAGATCTTACACCTGCAAAACAAACCAAACTCGTCAAGGGGAAGGGGAAGGGGACTGAGTCGCGACTGGATTTGCTCCGGTTAATCGGAGCTTGAAGCTCCTCACCAGAGCTAGCCGCAAGAGAAATAAACAGAAGAGGGAAAATGGTTGTTTCTTCGGAGCGGTGTCAATGGCTTCCCTAGTCAGTGAACCGTAGCATGTAGTAAGGGAGGACAATGGTCTTTTGGTGGTTTTGGATTTGTTTGGAGTTGTTGTGGGTTGGTTCTGATGGAGTCTCGCCGGAAAAGAGGACGAAGTGGGTTTTTGGATGGCTGTGGTGAGACCTTGGCGGCTCAAAAAAGGAAAAAATACATCCATACTCATTCTGAAAATTATACACCCACCCTAATTTTTATTTCACCACCCCTATTTTTTAACCTAACCAAAACTTATATAGGAAATAATTGTTAATTGGGCTCAATTTGTGGGCTTGGGATTGTGGCCCAAAATTATCGATCAAATAAAATATCTGTATTTGAATGAATTTCTAGATTGTGCAAACTATCAGAATGAGTATTAATAAATATAACGAATAAAATGAATATAAAAAAAAATAATGAACGTAACTAATGACTTGTAAAAATGCAATTTTAAAATTAACTGATAAAAAATCCTAAATTTTGATAAATAAGGATAGTTATCGATAAACTTATTAAAAAAATTATTTTGAACTATTAAATAAATAAAACTTAAAAGTTACGAATTTTGAAAATGTTGGCCAAAATTGGGTGTCAACAGAAGGATTTTAAAGAAATCAGACACTAACAACTAATTAAGATACCAAAGATCATATCATTATTGAAAAGAAACAGAACAATAAAAAGGAAGAATATTAATGGAAAAAGAAAATGAACAGACCTTCATTTGAGCTTTATTTCTTCAATGGTAAGACAGAATAGGTCACAATTCAAGCCAGATCTGATTGTCGCTCACCGGTGTTGGAGTCACGTCGGAGATGGAGATCTTACACCTGCAAAACAAACCAAACTCGTCAAGGGGAAGGGGAAGGGGACTGAGTCGCGACTGGATTTGCTCCGGTTAATCGGAGCTTGAAGCTCCTCACCAGAGCTAGCCGCAAGAGAAATAAACAGAAGAGGGAAAATGGTTGTTTCTTCGGAGCGGTGTCAATGGCTTCCCTAGTCAGTGAACCGTAGCATGTAGTAAGGGAGGACAATGGTCTTTTGGTGGTTTTGGATTTGTTTGGAGTTGTTGTGGGTTGGTTCTGATGGAGTCTCGCCGGAAAAGAGGACGAAGTGGGTTTTTGGATGGCTGTGGTGAGACCTTGGCGGCTCAAAAAAGGAAAAAATACATCCATACTCATTCTGAAAATTATACACCCACCCTAATTTTTATTTCACCACCCCTATTTTTTAACCTAACCAAAACTTATATAGGAAATAATTGTTAATTGGGCTCAATTTGTGGGCTTGGGATTGTGGCCCAAAATTATCGATCAAATAAAATATCTGTATTTGAATGAATTTCTAGATTGTGCAAACTATCAGAATGAGTATTAATAAATATAACGAATAAAATGAATATAAAAAAAAATAAATAGAACGTAACTAATGACTTGTAAAAATGCAATTTTAAAATTAACTGATAAAAATCCTAAATTTTGATAAATAAGGATAGTTATCGATAAACTTATTAAAAAATTATTTTGAACTATTAAATAAATAAAACTTAAAAGTTACGAATTTTGAAAATGTTGGCCAAAATTGGGTGTCAACAGCTGTCCCTTTCGTTGGATATGATTGATGAAAGAAATTGTGGACAACGAAAATTGACTAACTCGATTTTGGCCGAACACATGACCTTTATATAAAAAGTGCGGTTGGAATGTGGTGGAAGTCGATCCCGGACTTCCCTCCAAAAGGTTCTACGCTGTGTTGCGTCCTTGTTGAAATAGTCCGCACCTGTGGCACTATTGAGATTGCATCCTCTTAGATGTTCTCAAAAAAACAAAGATTAAACTCATTAGTAAAGGCAAAATTACAGAAAAAATATGTAACATCTCGTATGATAAGACAAATGAAGATGATCCATTGGTAGGATAGAAATGCATGTCCATCGGTAGAATTTCGAATGTATGTCCATCGGTAGGACGAATAAAAAAATATGATCCATCGGTAGGGTTTTGAATGTATGTCCATCGGTAGGACGAATAAAAAAATATGATCCATCGGTAGGGTTTTGAATGTATGTCCATCGGTAGGACGAATAAAAAAATATGATCCATCGGTAGGGTTTTGAATGTATGTCCATCGGTAGGACGAATGAAAAAAGATGATCCATCGGTAGGATTTTGAATGTATGTCCACCGGTAGGACGAATGAAAAAAGATGATCCATCGGTAGGATTTTGAATGTATGTCCACCGGTAGGACGAATGAAAAAAGATGATCCATCGGTAGGATTTTGAATGTATGTCCACCGGTAGGACGAATGAAAAAAGATGATCCATCGGTAGGATTTTGAATGTATGTCCACCGGTAGGACGAATGAAAAAAGATGATCCATCGGTAGGATTTTGAATGTATGTCCACCGGTAGGACGAATGAAAAAAGATGATCCATCGGTAGGATTTTGAATGTATGTCCACCGGTAGGACGAATGAAAAAAGATGATCCATCGGTAGGATTTTGAATGTATGTCCACCGGTAGGACGAATGAAAAAAGATGATCCATCGGTAGGATTTTGAATGTATGTCCATCGGGAGGACGAATGAAAAAAGATGATCCATCGGTAGGATTTTGAATGTATGTCCATCGGGAGGACGAATGAAAAAAGATGATCCATCGGTAGGATTTTGAATGTATGTCCATCGGGAGGACGAATGAAAAAAGATGATCCATCGGTAGGATTTTGAATGTATGTCCATCGGTAGGACGAATAAAAATTCTTTCAACGCAAGTCTCCTCCGACTTGAACGTGGAATAGATAGGGTGCACATCCTTCACCTCCGAATAGATGCGACTTAAATGCAAATATCTTTCAACGCAAGTT